CGCGTGCCACGAGTCGCCCTATTATTCAATTCAATGACCGCGACCCTACATAGTATCCTATCTTATGTCGCCTTCTAATTGTCGCCCCCGGAGAAAAAACGCCGACGCGCGCGATGTTCGCGTGAAAATTTCGCGAAATATTTGTGTGGCCACAAGTGGCGCGCCATACGTCACACGCGTTAACGAACAACGACAACGATTGATGTACGCGAAGTCGTTACTAACGACTTACCCGGTCCGTGATAAAGCCGAATGAAAAATAATGGAGCGTGAAAGAGAGGGACTAACGAGGCCGGACGAGACGAGACAAATGCTTTTCTACTACGAGGAAACCACTCTAAATATAACGAGACCTAAATACAACGTTGCAGACGGCGAGTGATGCAGCGCAGCGCGATCGATCGGAGCAAAACCGGTGTGTCTCGAGAACGAACTTTACACTCGGATTGAGATAAAAATCAAAAGAGAATCCATGTGTGATGAGTAAAAAATAAATGTATTAATAAATGATAAATAATTAAAATAAACAAATATATAGATCAAAAAGAAATAAAATAAATTTGAATAAATCTGAATAAATTTGAAAAGTACTGAGATACCTCCCTCTTAATAAAACATTTATTGTCCGCGCGTTAACATCCTACATAACTTATTGAAAATATTATATATAGATGAGATTATATCTCATCTTACGTAACTTATTAAATATACAATATGATAAATCATAAAAAATCTTCTATATTTCTTAGTCAAAGATTTATTAAAAAAAAATGTCATTTGTTTTTCATTTTTGCTGACCTTTACGATCTTACAGAGATAATTAATCTTGAAGTAGTTTTACACGTCAGCATATGCCGTGGAAAAAATTGTTTCATATCAAGACGAATCAAGACATTTCACATCAAGATTTTTTCCGCCTCATTTGCATTATCAAGCCCACTTTGCATATGAAACATTTAAATCATGTAAATAAATACGGAAAAAAATTTATAAAACATGTGAAGATTAAACGATTTGAGAGGGAAGGACGCTGTTTCAAAGTACGAGTGATTACGTATGTGATATTTCGTAAAAAGAGAAAAAAAGAGAAAAATCTGAAAAAGAAAATAAGCAGCATTTTCATTTTTGCGGTAATAAAGCAGACACCCGCGTCACGTTTCTTCTGCCGGCATAACGTACATTAACGGGGAAAAGGAAGCTGTTTCTGCAGCTGCGGGTACGGGAGTTTAATAAACCAGACTTAACTCAGAACTCTCTCTCTCTCTCTCTCTCTCTCTCTCTCTCTCTCTCTCTCTCTCTCTCTCTCTCTCTCTCTCGCGCTGTTATATAAGTCACTCAGCTGTTCGCGGAGTACCACCACCGCGTAACCGAAAAAAGATCCGCGACTCGTCGAAGAAGCGGACGGAATGAAACGCGTGGCGGTACGCCAGCAAAGTCGCGAAAAATACGACGTGGCAATGTACTCGTTATTATTTCCCGCGCTTCAATTTCTCAACCGAGGGAGCTGCCCGTGCATCGCGGCCTCAAAGAAAACGGTCACGTTCACGGCCGATCGTCCGATTCACTCGTAAACAAATCGCGCGAGTATTTCGTCGTCGATCGCAGTAACGACAACTACTGCAAGGAGCAAGAAAAATAATAATCCAGTAATAAAAAATTCTTGTTTTTTTAGACCTAATAGTTCGTTTACATCCACGAAATAGGTTTGAGAAATTGAGCAACTCGATTTCTCAAATTTGGCCAACCCTGAGACTGAGAAGAAAGATATTTTTAAGAAATAAAAAATATATCTATTTGGTGGGTACACGGAAAAAAAAGATCTGCTACATATGGACAACTAACATTATTTGCTGTATTAGCCACCTTTTCTTTGCTGCAGGAGCCAATTTCCTTGCTACGATAACAAGAAAATCTGCTCCTGCAACAAAAAAGTAGCTAAAGCAGTAAATTATGTTTAGTTGTCCATTTGTAGCAAATTCGCTACGTCTTTCCTTGTTGTAGGAGCAGACTTTCCTATTATCGCAGCAAGAAAATAGGTTCCTGCTGCAAAGAAAAAGTAGCTAACACAGCGAATTATATTTAACTGTCCATATGTAGCAAGTTAGTTTGCTACTGCAGCAAATTATGTTTTTCCGTGTACTAATGACATATTTACTTGCAATAACATAAAACATTGTTCAGTGAGTAAGAAAATAAACATTTTCTTGAAACCTCTTAACCCTTTAGGCACACGAGGGATACGACGCGACTCTTAGTGGGATTTTCGTTTCAGCGAGTGAAGTGTTTTTACCTTCGTGTGAAGACCCGAGAAGAAGGTGCGTCGCGGCGCGGAATACGACGACATGTTGATCTTGTTGACTACCATTGTCATGCTAGCTGCGCCGGATCTCCTTTCCCACTGGCCGATCCAAAGTCCGGAGTCTACCACTCAATTTTTATCCGGTCGACGTCGTTGCTCCGCTCCTCTGCAACATCGACGACGACGCCACGTGCCGGGTCGATAATAACACGTCCACCTTGTCCTTGTCTGTCAAAGATATTTATCGGCACGCTTCGCTTCGCGAGTTGACCGTCTCAGAATCTCGGTTCGTGCGCGCCTTAGCGATAGATTCATCGGCAAGGCGGCGATCGTGACTTGACTTCGGTCTCAACGACGAGAGAACGGCAGAATCAGATCAGCTCTTTCCCGAGCGTTCAATTGTCCCGAAGTGATCAGCATCAGGTTCTCCTCGAGAACGGTGGCAGGAGGAAATCTGCGAGAGCTCGTCGCGAGCTCGCTGCCAGCAAAAACTCGCTGTAGAGGTAATAAACGAGTTTCCGTTAACGGAGTTCGCGACGGTACAAGATCTTCTCGCGTGTATCCTTGCCTGCACGAACTTGCTCGCCGAGGGTCACTACGCGGGGACAACTCCAGCAAGATTGTCGGGATCCAGCTATGAGTTCTGCGCGCGTAAAGGCAGATGAGAATGCACCGAAGTCCAAGGAAACCTTCTCAACACCTTCCAGCACTCGAAGATGGCTCGAAGTGTTCGCGAGAGTCAACGACTGAGTCCCGGAGACTTATCTATCTTCGAGCTCGCGGCGCACACGGAAACGCGGCGCTGGATAGAGTTCTGCTTTAGGAGCCACCAGAGACCCGTTCACATCGGTCTCTGATGTCTACGGGACGAGTCAAGCGAATTCCTTTTTCGAGGACCACTCCGCGGAGACACGTCGAAACGACTCGGCGGCGAGGTGTGCTGTCTCGATCAACTGGAATCTACTCTTGGCACCGAATTAAGCACGGCGAAGAGCTACTTCCTCCTCCTCTTCTGAGGAGGACCCGCGCTCGAGGACACCCACGGAGAGTCTCAATGAACGCCAGTAATTATCTGTTAGGAGGAAAGCGCGTTTACTTCTTCGCGCGGAAGGTGGTGAACGCAGAACTCGTCGCGAGCACTCGAGGACGAGATGAGCAAATCCCGAGAGTGGCGCGACGAGGAGAGCCTGTTGCCGTGCACCTTCCGGTCGGAGTCGCGCGCGGATACTGAAGGAGAGCGCGTCGCGACGGTGCTATATATAGCCTCCCTACTCCGGCGAACGGCCGACGGAGTCGTCGGGGCCTCTTCAGGTTCGCAGCGGGACGCAGCCGGTCGCGGTGTTACCGTGACCTTCGAACCCGGAGGGATGTGTCGGGGCACTCTGAGGGAGGGATAAGGCGCTGACCATTGGAAGCTGGACAGAGTCGAACGTCGTGGTAGGGCCGCCAGAGGCTGGCTGCGAGCGGACGACGGGATCGATTCGCCACTCGCGACGCTGTCGATACCACGACAGTGCGACAGAATGACCAATGTTAGTTGGCGCGGTCGGCCGGCAAGTGGGAGCGGGTTTAGCTGAAGAATGCCGCTTCTTTCGCAGAGCGCGAAATACGACGCTCGACGCTTGTCGCGAACGCGTTCAAAAATAATCCAAGACTGGTATAGGGACGCGTGTCGCGCACATGCAAGAATCAGAGGAGCTGGAAGCGCTCGAAGGTGCTCTCTCTTTCTCTCTCTTCCTCTGTTTCATTCTGCCCATGACTTATCCGGCTCGCGTCGAGAGATGTCTTGAAATTTTTTACGACTCTTACATAAAAAAAACAAAAAATACTTGAAAATTTGACTCGTGGCATATGAAGTATGTTTTTTTGCAGAAATTTAATTTATTCCACAAAAATAAACTTTATTTCACAGAAATGAACTTTGTATCCTGCAAACAAATTTTCGAATATCTTTTTCAATGTGTACTATATCCAGATGAGATAACATTCGTTCTCTCTTTCTCTTTCTCTCTCTCTCTCTCTCTGTCGTTTTTCCGGGTTGTTTTAAAAATGGGACTTCCCGTCAAAGAATGATGCATAATCTCCACCCGAGAAGCGAAACTCGGACGTACGTTCCGCGAAACACACGTGTGTTGAAACGTCGCGTGCATACATCCGCGAGCAACTTTTTATGTTCTTTGCCTCGATGAGAAACCAACGTCAGCGATTTTTCAACGCTTTTCCGCGAATCGCGATTTCACGGACATCCCAAGAGAAAGATCCCTGGAGAACCTCCCGGAGACAGACTAACAGACAGATAAAGAGAAAGAGAGAGAAGTTGACTCCGGCGAGCCGCAAGAAGGATCCGATTAAGGAGGTCAAGGAATACGCGCGAAGAGTGTACACCTCAGCATTTTCCTGGCTAAGCAGTGAAATTTCGGCGTCAACGCGACGTTGCGAATTTAGAGCGGAAGCGAATTCCGTCGTGGTCAGCGACACGTGAGAACCGCTGACGAAATCCGGAGGAAGAAATATTGCGAGTTGGATCCATCGACTGAAAATTGCCGCCATTACCACTCAACGTCACGTTCTTCGCGCACAAACGTTTTCCCACAAACGAGGAGCGAACGAGCTCTCGACTGCCGCTCAAACGGAAGCTGAGGAGCTTTACAGCTGCCGAGAGAGAGAGAGAGAGAGAGAGAGAGAGAGAGAGAGAGAGAGAGAGAGAAAGAGAGAGAGAGAGTAAATGAGTAAGAGAGAGAGGGGGAGATAGTGACGAGAGAAAAAGGAGGAGCCGAGAGGATTGTTAATCACACGTAACACACGCGTGATGGATGTGAATTGCTCCCTGTGTCAGCAATTTGCGCCTTTTTTTCCTGCCTCCTTCTCCGGCCCCTTCACCTCTTCTCCTCACCTGCCCGATCCATCTGTTTACTTATGTAATGCTTATGCAATAATTACCGACGTTTAAGCAATTGACCGCTCGCGGCGTTACTGCGGCGATCCCACGATGGCAAATTAAGAATGAAAAACAAAAAAAAAAACGAACAAGGAGTCTGTCTTGTCCTTTCCAGGTCGACTTGTCGAGCTTGACATTGTCGAGGTAAGATTTATAATGCCATCGAGTTAATCTACCGCACTTCCGCTCTCGTAACTCCCGAGATACCGTATAATTGTGTTAGGCGCGTGAGAAATAAGAGAGACGAGTGAGCCGCGCCGACGAGTGTCCCGGGGAATCTCCCGTGCAGATTGAAAATTAAATTAATTGGAGAAATTCGACTAGAGAACGACTGAGTCGTATCGATCGCAGATCGATTTAATCGAGTCTCCATTTCGTCCAGCTTGTATTAAGCGTCGTATCATGGCAAGTGAAATACACGTGACGCGAGTAATGATGTCGGAACGCGGCATAATAATCGTAAATTCGCGACAAAGTGTGAAACAAATCAATCACGAGGGAAACGCGATTCCATTTCTCTCGCCGCGCTTTACGGCGCGATTTTATCACGAGAATGACCCGGCCGAGTTTATCGTTTTGCGTTCTAGGAAAGAAGGCGTGTAAGAGCAGCGAAGGCCGTAAAAGCGACGGAAAAGTCAATAACGCGCGGGAATTAGGTCCCGGCGCCGTTTACCGACGGGATTAATCGGAAATTAGAGTCGAGGGAAGGGGACGAGATACGGCAATTTTGTTCTCGATCGCCGAGGAGTTATTCTTCTCGTCAGCGTAGCGACATTTATTTTCGCTACTGGCGCGATCAAATTTGCAAGATTACGCGGGAGAAAGATTGCGCAAACACGACTCTCGGCATTTACGAGCAATTTGATTGTAACTAATGATGGAGGTATAAGAGCTTTTTTTTCAATCCGAAGAAGAATCTGGCGAAAGGGCTCGCTTGAAATCTACCATTCCGCTTTTCGCTAAGAAACTGCGTCTTTCATAACGTTACGATCAAGCTGCGATGTAATGTAAATAATCCACGAACTTGTTGCGACACACTCTTTTGCGCGAAATTGAATATCGGATTACTGTGATTAAAGCGCGCTTTTAATTAAACGCGAATACATGCTCATGTTTTCGTAACAGTTCAATTAAAAATCACAGAGGATTCAAAGCTGAATTGAACTGACTTGAGTGCTGATATTTCAGGTAATGTCAGAGTGTCACGATAAAGAATTCGAAATAAAAGTTTCAGTAATCCTAAGAAAATGTAAGTTCAGGACTTTGTTGTATTAGAGGATATATTTTTGCAAAACTTCAATTAAAAACGAAAGAGAATTAAAGACTAAACTGAATTAAACTGACTTGAATGCTGTTTGATATTTTAGATAATATCAGAGTCACGATAAAAACTGCGAAATAAAAGTTTAAATAATTCTGAAAAAAATACAAGTTCTAGACTTCAATTCATCACAGTGGAGGTTTCCTAGGCGTGAGAAATTTTTCGCAGCGACGGAATTTGATCGGGTTATCCTCTAGGACTTTTCGTGGAGTATTTTAGTGCGGCTTAAGCAGAATTAAAATTGGCAACGGAATGGCTGCGTTTATAACTTCCACGAGCTGGCTTGGTAATACGCCAAACTTACGCAAACGCGTTGCTAAGCACAGAAAGAGCAGTCAAAGCATCGCGGCCAAAACACGCGGAGAATGTAAATGTCGCGAAACGCGGAGTCATTCCATATGGCGAACATTTTCACAATTTTTCGTAACTACGCGCTTCCCTCTCCTGCGATTTCTCTGTCAGAAATCGATTACTTTTAAGAGAAACTATAGGATCATATTATTGGATCTCCTTAGGTCAATAGAAAGAATAGTCGATATCCTCTTCAAATTCTTTCTCCTCCTCTTCTTCCTCTTCATAACCTTCTTCCTCTTCCTCGTAAAGAGCTTCTTTTTCATATGGTGCTAATGGTATCACATCCTCGGCTCCTTCGGGGAAGTATTCCGTTATCATGTGTTGAGCTACATCGTCGACTTCCGTGACGAAGGACGGCTGGATGCCGGCGAAAGCCAGGAAGGTTTCCTCGTTGATCCTCCGAATGATTAGTACGAACACCTCGGTGCCAGTTTTATACTTCACCTGTCACAAATAACTCTTCAGCCTGTCTATTCGTAAAATAATATTGCAAACAGCGACCTCTTAATTCGCCGCGAGTTTCACTGAATGCAAGCTGTGTCGCTGAATAAAAGGTGGAAATCATGTTCAATTGTATATGTTTTTGATTTTCGTGAATGAACCGTGTCGATAGGTTACGAGAGGAGGGTGGGAACCTTCTTTTCGAAGTCGTCGGGCGAAGACGCGAGGCGTCTCGCGTGAGGCGGTCGATCGAATTCGAAGGCGCCGAAGTGCTCGACGGCGTTGCTGTGCAACGCGTGCGCGTCTCGCACGACGCCAAACTTGGACGCCTCGAACTTGAAGGCGCACAGAGGCAGAGGAGTCGCCGGTTCCACGTAAGGATGAGCCTTCTCCACGTACGCCGCGAACAGAGTCTTGAACACGTGAACCTTGCTTCTGGCCTGTTCATACGAGAAGCATACGACCGATTTAATGTCCTCGTCGTAAACTCTGAATTAAAAGGTCTCGGTCCTTCTACACCCAGTCGGTTCAGTACCTGAGGAGGCACCCAAGCAGCGGGGTGCATTCGACGCACGTCGTCTTCGATTTCCGGATCCGGCTCGTGCACGTACACATGCCTTTCGACGTAAGACGCGTCGTAGGTCGGCCTGGTCGTAGGTACGCCAGTTGCAACTGGCAACAGAGGCGGTGGTTCCGTCGTGATAATGCTGATGAGATAATTCTCCACGTCGTCGATCGCGCGAATCGGCTGCTTAACCGACGGCTCCGAATCCTCGTAAGGGTAACGCACCGGCCAGTCCGGGTGTGGCGGTTTGCCCCTCAGCCTCATGGCCATGCACTTGCCATCGGTCAGTCCTGAAGAGCAAGGTCCGTGCATTGGTAACAGTGCGAAGTGAAGGTCTTCCTATTAGCGGCTATTTTTGAGCCATACATTTGTGTATATATTCAAGTATCTCCCGGCACACATATAAAGCGAATTACACTGTTAATTATTGGAGGGTCAAATTTAAACCAATTTCTCGAGTTAAATAATATTTAGTTATTTTTAACTATCATGTGTGTCAAAATTTACTATTTTAACACAAAACATGTGTTTAAAAAAACAACCACATCTAATCAACCCATTTAAAACAATATTAAGCCATTTTTTAAAACAAAGGTTACATTAACGTATGCACAAGAAAAAATAAACTAAATTTTAGTCAAATTAATACATTTCTTAAGTTAAATTATTTAACTCCATTACATTAGTTAAATTAACGACATATTTAGAAGGAGCAGTGGCGACTTATAGAAATGGTAAAAAATAACTCAAATTGAGTATAATTTGACACTACGGATTTAACAGTGTATATGTGTGTGTCGGGAGATACTTGAATATATACACACATACATAAATGCATGGCTCAAAAATGGCCGCTAAGGTCGCTAATAGAAAGACCTTCCCTTGGCAATGTTGCCAATCCACGGACCTTGCTGAATAGTTGTGCTTGCATATTGTCGTTTGCGCGTCTTTCTTAATTTCTACGTGATCGTTATTCATGATCCACCTTTTATCAATTCCTCGGTGACGTCGACGCCACTCTCGACGAACATCCTCTCGATTGTGTCCTCGCTCAACTCGACTCGCAGCTCTTCCTGCACGTCGTAGCACTGCCTGAAGAGGTCCTGCACGAGCTCCATGTACGGCGGACTCAGCAACTTGTCTCTGGGTCTGCCGTTCTCGTCCTTGAAGACCCACGGATAAAGCACGAGCGCGGTCTCCTCGCACAGCTCGACGACCATGTGCGCCATGAATCGCTCGTATTTCTCTCGCCTCTCGGCATCTTCTTTCGCCCGTTTCTTCTGCTCCAGCGCTTTCCTTTTTCACCGAGATCGTTTACGTGAAATACGCGACTCCACTTTTCTTATTTCTTTCTTTCCTAAAGGCCGGGCTTTATTAGCCCCTGACATCGCGAAGATCAGTGCGAATAAAGTCCCCGACGGGATGTCCGAGTGAAAATATCGCGGACTATTAAGGGGATGACTATAAAATGCATGACAGACTCTAAAAATGTCGATAGTGTAGAGACCATTGTCATTAATACAATCCCACTATCCTTTACGTATTTTTTGTACGTACAGATTTACATAAATTGTATTGTCGTCAAATTATTTAAAAATCCCCCCAAAAGATATTTGGTTATCCTGAAGCGTTAAGAAATTCGAAATTACAATTGATCAGAAGCTTCGACTTGATGGAATTAAACCCAATCATGTTCTATCGCGTTCTCTCGTTTATTTCGGTTCACCTGACGCCTTCTTGCTTTTGCCAGCGGATTTCCTCTTCTGGGGCCCGTTCGCCCACGTCCAGCCGCCATTTCGGAGCCTCCGAATGTCGCACTCTTCTTATTTCCTCGTGCAACAACTTCCGCAAGCGCGGGCAGTGCGCGCCGAACATCAGGTTCACCATCTTGCCGTCCTGCAGGAACATCCAGACAGGTTCGCTTCTGCCCCTAAATCTCGCGAGGTCGTTGATGTCGTCGTTTCGCGCGACCACGTAGTCCACCGCGTCGTCGCCCATCTCTATCTTGATCTTCCTCAAGGTGTTCACCATGGCGGCACAGGGACCGCACCAGTCCGAGTAAACGTCCACGACGATGAGACCCGCGCGGTCCAACAGCTGTCGCCATTCCTGCTCGGTGTTCACCTCGATCTGCAACGTCCTGAGCTCGGCCTTCCTCATAATCTCATTATTCCGAGTATGTTAACCTCGCGAAGGGCCAAGCGGGCTCGTAAACTGCGTGAAGTGTCACTCGAGGGGCGAGTTCAGGTGAGTGAAGAATGACGATGCGAGCGCTGATAACGATTTGGTCGAGGCGTTGGACTTTTTAAAGTGCAACAATTCACATAACTTGTAGAGACTAACCAGAGATTCCTTAAGTTTATTTACGTCATTTTAATTAGTTGTTCTTTTTTTATTGTCGTATCTTGTCAAGTTTCTTTTATACACTCAGAAGAAAAACTTGAACATTGATCTGTGGGATATAAACCCGGGATTCGAACCAAGATGTTTCGAGTCTCCGCTAAAGTATTAAGCCGAGATTCGAACCGAAGTGTTTCGAGCTCCCTCTAAACTTATAGCCGGCATTCGAACCAAAGTGTTTCGAGTCTTCTCTAAACTATTGGAATTGGAAGTGTTTCGAGTATTAGTTAAATTAATAAGCCGGGATTCGAACCGAGATATTTCGAATCTCTGCTAAACTATTTAAGCCGGGATTTATTCACAGAAACAAACTTTATTTCACGGAAGTAAAATGTATCCTACAAGTAAATTTTCAAGTATTTTTTTCTTAGAGCATACTTCTTTTTTTACCTTTTCTTTATAATATTTAAAATTTAAAGTTTTTAAAAATTTCTTTAATTTTCCATCATTTCTACTCATAGAACATGTCAGTTTAGCCGTTCAAATTAAGAAGTTTGGTCGTTTAACTTGAAGGTATTCCATACTAGTTAAAACTACCCAGTGTTGGCCGATTTATCATAAAGTGTCAAGGGGACGAAATCAGAAGGAGATAGGAGTGGAGGTTTTATGTAACTTATATTTTTCTCATGGTTCTAACAAGTAATCACGCAAACTTTGGTCCAGCTCAGTCTAACGGGTTTACGAGTGTGTAGGGAACAAACAGACATTCTATTTCATATATACGAGATGTCTTAGCTCACAATCCACAATCTCTCGTGAGGACGTAAGACGGATTGAGATAAACAAAAAAGTCCAACACGTTTTGCAAAAATCGCAATAATGATCGAGATATTCATTGCAGAAAATTTATGCGAATGATCACTATGATATGGCAGATGAGCTGTAGTGGCGTCGTCCTCACGAGAAACTGTGAAATCGAGCTGAGACATCCTCTCTCTAGTATAGTAGATATCCATAACTCGATTGATTAAATGAGACATCAAAGCGGTTCCCCTTCATCTGTGCTGCACTTTCAGAGGCGCGATCGTACGCCAATGTCGGATGCAAATGTCGGGGCGACGCTCGTTTGAGCGACGCGAGATAACGAGCGTCGCCTCGTTGGTGAAGCGTGAAGAGGCCGACTTTATGTTTCTCTCGCGTGTCTCGCGAGAGTAAAGAGAGGAGAGGAGAGGCGAGAAGATCGGGGGCGCCGATAATGTCAGCGTCGGCTCCGCGCTCTTATGATCGCGGCGGCGGCGGTGACGTCGTTTAGGTTTACGTCCCTAATTCACGTCCAGCCGCGATAATTAGTCCCGGGCGAGATCGCGAGACGACTCTTGACACGTCCAGCCGCGTCGTGTCTTCCAGAGAGAGCTCCCGACATGAGTCACGAAATAATATACACAGCATCCGGATTGGTTCCCGCTGCGCTTCGAAGAAATCGGCCGTTCCGCGCGAAAACTGTTAGCGTTCTCGGCGGAAAGATTGGATTCGAATCGCTCCGGAAATTATCTATGACGTTGTAATTCTGTCTTGTTAACGGCAGGAAATCGTGAACGCACGTTTGACTCGTATTCGATCTAATAAACGCAAATTATTTGTTTATTAGGGCAGTCTAAGAGTTCGGCTCGATTCTTGAAACAAATTTAATCTGATCACATCGGATGGAAACAACTTATTCGTCAAGTAATCGCCGTCATTGTCTATGACCCTTTGCCAAGATCTTGACAGAACTCGTACACCTTTATCGTAAAAGCAGACCGATTTATGAAAAATCCAACGAAATTTTCGGGCTAACTAAATAATGATGATAAAATAAATATTCACTGACGTTTAAAGAACAAAAGTAGATTCGCGTAGAAACAACTCTTTAAATTTCTCAGGGTGGAATTTCATTCAAAACGAATAAAATCGATGTAATCTCATTTTAACATTAATTTTAAAAACGTCAACAATAAAGAGAAACAATTCTCCAAATAAGAATATTCTTTTTTCTGTGTATTCGACGAGATATGCGCGGCCGATTTTTGGAGACCAATTTTCGCGAGTTCAAGCATTATTTTTAAAATTTCTTTTCGTCTTTTGTCCTGTACATTTGTCCATCTGGCTACTGCCACTGGAAATCTCAAGAGTGAACGTTTCACTCAAACTCAATCTCAAGAGTGAATGTTTCACTCAAAAGAGTGAATTCTGACTTTACACGAGTAAATGTTTCAATCAATCAGAGTGAATATGTTTCTGTGTGACGATGGAATATATCAGATTGCTCCTCGACCTTGAGTGGAAATATTCACTCGACTATTCAGAGAACTCTATATGTGAGCGAGAAATTACATAAATTCGAGTTATTCGCTAGTCACTCTGTTTTTCGAGTGGAATGTCACTTCAAGTAATTTAAAGAGGATGTCACTCGATGATTACGTGATTTCATCGGCTCTGTGGTCGGAATGACGGTGATTCACAAGAAGCGATCGGACCGGCGCGCGTTACTCATGCCGTTTCCAGAAATGCTCCCACAATTTCGCGGGAGTGCATAGGCGCCATCGGTTGACATCATCGTGTTCACGCGACCGGAAACGCGGCGAGATCTAAGTGAAAAATTGCGACCGCGATATTGCGCCACTATCTCTCTCTCTCGCTCTCTCGCTCTCTCTCTCTCTCGCTCTCTCGCTCTCTCTCGCTCTCTCTCGCTCTCTCTCGCTCTCTCTCGCTCTCTCTCGCTCTCTCTCGCTCTCTCTC